CCACCCGCCTCGGCCTCCCAAAGTGCTGGGATTATAGGCATGAGCCACCGCGCCCGGCCCATAATTTTTTTTTTGAAACAGGATTTCACACTGTTGCCCAGGCTGGAGTGTAGTGGCGCAATCATAGCTCACTGTAACCCCAAACTCCTGGCCTCAAGCAATCCTCCCACCTAAGCCTCTTGAGTAGTTGGGACCATAAGCTCACACCATCATGCCCAGCTAACTAAAAAAAAATTGGGGGCAAGGGGAGTGGGCGCAGTGGCTCACGCCTGTAATCCCAGAACTTTGGGAGGCCAAGGCAAGCGGATCACGAGGTCAGGAGATCAAGACCAGCCAGACCAACATGATGAAACCCCACCTCTACTAAAAAATACAAAAATTAGTCAAGCCTGGTGGCAAGCGCCCATAATCTCAGCTACTCAGGAGGCTGAGGCAGGAGAATCACTTGAATCCAGAAGGCGGAGGTTGCAGTGAGCTGAGATCCCTTCGTTGTACTCCAGCCTAGGTGACAGAGCAAGACTTCATCTCCCAAAAAAAAAAAAAAATCTTTTTTAGAGATGGGGGTCTTCCTCTGCCACCCAGGCTGGTCTCAAACTGCTGGCCTCAAGTGATCCTCCCATGCCCATCTCCCAAAGCACTGGGGTTACATTTGTAAGCCACTGTGCTGGGCCCATGATTCCAATTTTTGAGAAAGTAGAGAGAAAGGAATGTTATCTTTCCTAAAAAGAGACTGTTTTGGAAAGTAAAATAGTACCTGGTATTACCCCACACTATAAACTTTACACATCCTTCTCTATCACAGGAGCAGGTAGCTTGGTGGTTCTACTGCCAAAAGTCTAGAGAGCCACCTGACCTGACGAGGTATATATTTGACTTTCTTTTCTTCTGACTTTGCAGACTACTTACTGCCACAATTCTTGTTATGGCCAAAATGACTGTCTACATTAAGGGTGGAGACTCCTTGACAGTATAGGTTTCAAGGCCACACATCAGCTGCTAGGAGATTAAGCCAAAGAAAAAGGTTTTAGGTTGCCACTTACTTCAAAGCAAGGCCACTTTACCTTTGAGCATTCTAGTCTCTCATTTACTTTGCAACTTTTCTGCAAGTTCTTCAAATTTCTTGCCTCTTTCCTGCTAATATACTGAATATGTAAGTTCATGTGAGCTGCTTACTATCTTGTTAATAAAATTTTCTGTCCTAAGGATATAACCTAATTACTGTGTATAATTTCAGATTCTCACAAAAAAATGTATGTAGTTCCCACTCACGTATAATTGATTAAATTTATGTCACTGTTTCTAAAATGGCTTAATTAGGGGAAAAAAATTTATACTCTATAATGCTCCCACAAATATTGCCATCCCTTTAAACTTCATCTATACTTATTGTCCCATGACTTGATACTCATAAGTTTTCTTGTCTTAGAAGTAATCTCATTTAATTAAGATCTTTCTTCGCGACAAGATAGTTGCGTAATAACAAAAACTATTTATTGGCTTTTAAATTGCAATTTCAATTTTGCAGCATCTCTGTACATCACTTTGGCAAATAGAAATTCCTAACAAATAACACTTTGAGGTTTCCAAGTGTAAGAGACTAAATGCTTTTTGCTTTTGTTTTGAGACAAGGGCTTGCTCTGTTTGTTGTCCAGGCTGCAGTGCCTTGGTGCCATCAAAGATCACTGAAAGCCTTAACCTCCTGGGCTCAAGTGATCATCCTGTCTCAGCCTCTCGAGTAGCTGAGACCACAGGTATGTGTCACTACACCCGACCAATTTTTTAATTTTTTGCAGAGACCTGGGAGGTGGGTTTGATGTCTCTTTTTGTTCCCCAGGCTGGTCTCCAACTCCTGGCCTCCAACGATCCTCTCACCTCAGCCTTCCAAAGTGCTGGGATTATAGTTGTGAGCCATGGCACCCAGCCCAGACTAAATCTTTTTGAACAATTACTAAAAAAACAAATAATCCCATTGTTAGATAATGCCTATAGATAATCACCAACTTCCAAATGCTGGACTGAAGATACTATCACAATACTTTAAGCGCAAAAGATAATCAATAAATGGAAATGAATTTTAACGGGATAAGCGGGTTCTCTACATCTTTTGTATTGAAATTCTAATTTTAAACGAAGAAATAGGCGAGGTGGTGGTTGAAACCTATAATCTCAGCACTCTGGAAGCCCAAGGTGGACAGATTGCCTGAGCCCAGGAGTTTGAAACTACAGTGAGCTATGACTGCACCACTGCACTGCAACTTGGGGAACTGAGTGAGACCCTGTCATTCATTCATTTGTACATACATGCATATAGCGTTCTAATTAAATAGGCAGATAAAAAAACATTTATCTCAACCATCTTCCTAATCCTCAATTAAAAGTACATAAATAAAAAAGCTATAAATAAAGCCCAAAGACAGAAGAGGAAATAACAAATGAAAGATGTCAACAAAATATGGGAAAATAAAAAGTGAAGAGGCTGGGCACGGTGGCTCACAGATGTAATCCCAAGGCTTTGGGAGGCCAAGATGGGATGGTCTCTTGAGCCCAGGAGTTTTTGAGACCAGCCTGGACACCACAGGGAGACTCTGTCTCTACAAAAATTTTTTTTAAAAAATTAGCCAGGGGTGGTGGCATATACCTGTGGTCCCAGCTACTTGGGAGGCCAAGGCAGAAGGACCACTTGAGCCCAGGGGTTCAAGACCAGCAAGGGAACATAGTAACACCTTGTTCTGCAAAAAAGTAAGTAGCGGGTGTGGTGGCATGTGCCTGTGACAGCTACAAGGGAGGCTGAGGTGGGCAGATTGCTTGGGCATGGAAGGTCAAGGCTGCAGTGAGCTGTGATTGAACCACTCCACTGCATTCCAGTATGGGTGACAGAGTGAGACCCTGTCTCAAAAAAAAA